GAAAGAGCAGTATTCAGATTATTATGAATTTTAAGTTGTTTTTCCCCAGACCAGCTAGCACAGATTTAATTTGGTATGGTAAATGGCATATTGACCTAAAGCTCCTTTCTTTTCTTAGCAAATTATGAAGGATCGGTGGATGAATGTTGGCCATGAAGAAGAAGAACTAAAGCCGTATACTGAGCCTGAACCAGATTTTAATGACACCAAAAGAATAGGTAAGACTTTTACAAGGATGTTGCATCTGATGACATAGGCCATTTTATCTTGTAAGTCGAACTAAACTCTTACCAAATTTGAGATGCAGTCTCATTGTACAAGTAAAATGTTGTTATTTAAATGAGAAATTTCATTACGGTGCTCTCCTTATAACTACTGTTGTGACTTCACTGAGCTGACATGAACCTACAAGCACAGCAAAAGACAAATAAGATTACAGAATTCAACAGGCAGGAGGAAACAGATTTTGTTGTGAGGGCAACAATTTTTATCCACCGTGGTCAGAGAAAGATACTGTGTTGGCCCTGTAGCTATTCATAGTTTCTATTTGCCAATGTTTTATTTGTTTGTTGAGTAACGTTTGATGTTGAACTATTTTGAATAACATAGTTGAGAGTTTTCCAGCAGAAAATAACAACAAAAGAGGGGGGGTTGTAGCCTTTTTGATTTTGCACAGCAAAGATGATGCTGGTTGAGTTGAATCCTAGTAACCTGTTGAATTATAAGGGCTTTTTCTATTTTCATTGTTCTTCAGTTGTCACTAGACCCAAGCATTTATTCTGCTAATGTATGTCTTCTTACTTTTTAGACATTATGGTCACAATGGGCTTTTCAAGAGAAGAAATTCATGAATCTTTAGTAAACCAAAAGTATGATGAAGTTATGGCTACTTATCTACTTCTAGGTAGAAAACCACCTGAAGTAAGTGCTACCTAATTTACGTCTTCTATTTTGGCCCTTATATCTGGCTGGGTTGAATATTCTGGTTGTCGATGTTTTTGTGACCTATTCTGTAACATCTTTTTAAAAAAAAATGTGATTGATAACTTATTGTCTTTCCCTTTTCATATCTTCTTCGATATCTTGTTAGTTCCCATATGAAGAAATAGATGAAGAAATAGTATCTTCACATTTGCTTGTAAATACGTTGAATTGCTTTTTTTAAAAGCTAGCTGTTAATCTGAAGTGGCATGACTTTTAAGTGCTGAGTCTTCTTCCTGTCATGTGTGTTTACAGTTAAAATCTGAAATATTTAATTTCACTAAAGCAATTATTCTTCTTCCACAAGATGTGACATCCTTTATTACTCAGAAATGTACTCATCCTTTCTCACTCGTATACTATATTATAGTATATTTTACTATTTAATAAATAATTGAATCGTAGTCATTAATAAATTTGTAATGGAAAATCTTTTGACTGTTTTGCAACTAGAGGAATCTGTAGATCTTTTGGGACCACAGGGATTTTTCAAGAAATCAAGCTGAGACCAAGGCTTTCTTTCTGAAGTAATTTCTTTCCTGCTGCTTTATTGGCCTTCCTTCATTTCTAAGATAGTATAGATCTGATATGTGCATCCTTCAGTGCATTTTCCCACAACATCTCTGAACCAGAATTCCCTTGTGATGACAGAGCATGGAGGGAATCTGTCTAAAATAATTTTTATTCAAACTGCTTGGAAATAGGGTATTTGTCTTTTCCACTACTCTTTCTTACAGTTTATGCTTCTTAGATATCAACAAACCAGTGGCTGAGTTACATACCTTATAAAGATGTGTTAAAGGCCGTTAAGAATCCTTGAATCGGTAGTCCTTGCTTTTTTTAGCTCTTCTGACTCAAAATGCTCTTTAAGCTTTTTTTTTTTTTTTAAAAAAAAAAAAGGGCAGGGGGAGCCGTTCATTGGCTTATGTTTTAAAATAGAACAGGTTTTTGTTACTGTCAAGATTCTTCTAATTTTATTTTGAGCATTCATTAACTTCTTAGCTTTAGCTGTGTATTTTTAAAGCACATTAAACACAGATGAAGTGATAAAATTAATCTTGAAGAAAATTAAACTCTAGATACAATTTTAAATTTTAAACAAATGCCTTTGATTGGAACTCTTCACTTTATTATGCCATAAAAGTACCAGTGATGGTGAATTTTGTTTATGCTTTGAAAAACTGTTTTTCTTGTAGTTTGAAGGAGGCGAGTCCTTGTCTGGCAGCAACTTGGGTCAAAGGTCTCGTCCTAGCAGTGACCTCAACAACAGTTCTGTGCAGTCTCCTGCTCACCTGAAGGTCCAGCGGAGTATATCAACTAATCAGAAACAACGGCGGTTCAGTGATCATGGTGGGGATGACATTCCAACAAGTAAAGTAACATACACAATTTAAGTCTGAATGTGCAGTGTTTTGTGAACCTGGCAGGTCCACCACTCTTTGCATTTGTTGTGTATCATATTGTGCTCTGCTGTGATGCTTTTATTTGTATGAACGCTTCTGTGGTAAATCTGGGTCAATGTAACTTACAGATTTAATTTTTTGGACTTGTTACTTGCTTGACTCACTGAATAAGAGCTTGAGGATGTTTCCTGTTCAGGAAGTAATGGCAAAATATTGGTCTGGATAAACTGCAAACCGTTATGTTTATCAGTACATTTGGAGTTGGGGCCAAACTGTTTGTTTCCAAGAGACAACAATTTTACCAAGTATTCAGGAAACATTTTCAGGTGAAAATGGTTACATCAAAAAGGAGTGCATATTTAAAACATTAAATGAAAGGTGATTCCCCCACCCCCACCCCCCCAAAGAGAACTACCAAATTACTAGAAATATTTCTAAAATGTTTGGCCCTTTTCTCTGCCTAATTTACATTGTTCTATTTTTTTCCCAGTACTGTCCTCCCTCTGTGTTAGTGTGTTGTTTTTTCCAGAAAAGTAATGAACATTGTGAAGATCATCAGCTGATGTAATTTTATTTCAAGGGAATGTAAAATTCTACTGATGGAGGATTTGCCCCAAAGCATTTTAAAGAATGATGAGGGGGGAAGAACTGTAATTTTTCCAAGTATAAACATGCTTTTAAACAAAGTAGTTCTAGGGTTTTCAGGGGAAAAAGATCTTTCATAGTGTTTAGAGGAAAAGATATATGACAAAAAGTACTAAAAAAATAATTTGAAAAGTATCCTCTTAATTCCTTTTTTCATAATATTGCACAAATTACATGGGTTTAAAATAAGAATTAAAATAATCTTCTAGGTTTTACATATTTATATAAAATAAGAACTTATTCTGAACTGCAAACTGGTAATGAAGAGAGAGTGGGTAAAAAGAACGTAGGCTGTCAAAGCTCAATTTAATAGGTTGGTACATGTGGTGAGCTTGCAATCGTAGGTGTTCAAATGCTTTTTTTTGGACTTGGGGAATTATATTTAGACTATTTTGGCCAAGAAAAATGGAGTTGTTATTTTTAGGTATTATTAATATTATTTTTATTTGGCAGTTGGTCCCTCAATTCCTCCTGCTGTGTCATACACAAAAAGGGCTCAGGCAAATAGTGTGGAAAGTGAACAGAAAGAAGACTGGGACAAAGATGTCTCACGCAAACTTAGCAGCACTACAGTGGGATCCAAAGGAGAGATGGCTGCAAGTCCACTTGTGGGTCCAGAAAGAAAGAAGTCAACTACAGTTCCCAGTGTGAGTGTGTGCACTTTTGCCTTGTTATATTTATTTTTCCCTATTTAAACAAAATCTGCAGCATGAGGTTACTACAGACATGATGGTTAGTGAATAAGCCACTAAGTCTATTTCTGGTAACTTTTCCTGGCAGACAGAAAGAGGCTACAGTGGATGTCTTTTAAAAATAAACCTTTCCCTTCCCCCACAACTTCACTTTTTCTAACACTAACATAACAGTAAGCACAAGAATGTCTGCATTTGGGCAAACTGAAGATCTGTCAGGACAAGTAGTGGATATTTAGGGAGAGAACATAAGAACAGAGCCAATATGGAGTGCTCTTTTTCTGGTTTCTAATGTTTGTATATCCACAAGGAAGTCAAGGGACATCCTGAATTGGAGATTTTATTTGAATGATCCTTCATGATATCCCTCATGAATTTTTTTCTGTGTGACTTTGTCTTTTTAGCTTTCTGAAACCACTTCATTTTGGACTCCAGAAATGGGGTGAGGTGAGGGGGAACAACCCAGTTGTTCCCTGGTGTGTGTGCCTGTTGACATTATGAGTTACAACCTGGTTCTTGTGTTAAGAAATTATTAATTTGCTAGTTCTTTTGTTGTGATATCATTCGTAGTTTTGTAAACCACTATCATATTACTGCCTCAGACATCTTGGCTCCAAATAGGAGAGTCTGTCCCTCCTAATGTGAAAGCATCTACTTTGCCTTGTGGAAGTTCATGTGCAGTGGTATTGGTGTTTAGGATACAAAATGAAAAAATATTGCATAGTGTTTAAACAGCTACTTAGGAGCAAGAGTTTATGTGGAAAAAGAAAAAAGAAATATGTGTGAACCATAATTTAAGATTCAAGTATACTTTTTTGTTATTTAAGAGACACACTGTATTAAATACAAAAATTCTGGCCATCTTTTAGTACAGTAGATGGGCGGCAGGAATTCTCATTGTCCTTTGGGATTCTATGTGCTGGCTCCCATCTTGGATATTCTGGGAAGATGATATGCATTTCTGCTAGAATTCTCTTTAAAAACAATAAATGCTGAAATTCATTTAACTCTTAATGTTCTGCAGGCTGTGTCTGCAGTACATCCACAGATGCTTTAAACAATTTTTTCAAATTTTAAAATAGAGGGTTTTTTTCACCCAATAAAGAGTCTTTCAAAATTATGGCAGTGTGGATTGCATGCAGGAACGTTGAGTCTTCGACAATTAGATTTCATACCAGAGCTTTCCCAAGACTGTATTGCCCTAAAGCTGATTACAGTCATGTATGGTAGAAGCTGATATGTCAAAAGCATTTCTCTGCTTTGTGAGAACTAATTAAATGGAGCGTCTTTGCTATGAAGAATGAAGAATAAGAAGTTGATTTGTACATTTTTAGCTCTGTTACTATTTGGGGGACTTTGTGAAAGGCTTTGTGATGGGCACGATTAAGGAATAGTGGTCTCTGATATTGCAGCAGTAGTTAAGGTTGAACAGCTTACACAGAAAAAGTGAATTTGTTTTTTAAAACTCAGACATTTAAAATGAACAAAGCCAATTTAATGTGCATAATTTTAAAATACTTTTGTGTAACTCGGAGAGTAACATGATGTTAGGGAAGGCAGGATTTCTTAAAAACATATTTATCACCTTCAGTCATATTAGTCTAACTTATGAGAGTTTAATTTCTAAAACAGTTACTGCAGTTGTTAATCTTCCTTACAAATTGGCTTTGAAACAGTTTATTCAGTAGTCTCTGCAGGGTGATACTAATGCTGAAAAGCTCTAGATGAGGGAGACCTAAACACACAGTAAATCTTGTAGAGTTCATGATGTCCTATAGTACACAAGTTCAGTGTGTTTGAAATCTTTTGCCAGCATGCATCAGTATGTAATGTTAGCACTCTGCAAACCTCTTCCACCCCAAATTCAATATGTGCTGTATTAAAAACTGAGAATTGTACGTCATGTACTGAAAGTAAGTCTTCAGCAGCTAATCTGTGCATGGCAGAGGGAGGAGGAGAATGTTTGTAGGTATTTTATGAAGTGTGTACAAACTGAAATTAGTAACAGAAAGAAGTCCTGTCAGTATTTGTTGCTACAAGACCTATTTGCCATGTTATCTGCATCGTAAATCCTGGGTTGACTGGCGCAGATTGATAATCTTTTCATTTTTCTCTTGAAAACTTTTTTGACACGGGGTAACAAACTGTAAGGCTGGAGCTCTAGCTGGCAACTTAATCCACACGGGGAAGCCTTTCAACCAGCCACATAGATGTGTTCTCTGGGATTCCAGTTTGTTCCTTTCATCCCAGAGACAAATAATTCTGTAACACAGTATGTGGGAATTGGATAATAATGCTTAGTAAAGCAAATGTCAGCAAAATTAAATTTCTCTACGTTTTTTCTTTTAGCATACTCTCAATGGTACGGTAATGAGGTGGTGAATGAGCTATTGGAAAAAAATGGCTGATGATATAAATGATTGTGTCAACAGATTAACCTAGTTCATTCGAAGACATTAAGAATATACATAAACAGCAGAAACTATTTTGATTTGCTTCCAATGCTTACATTTTTGTACAACATAATATATAGTAGAATAAAGTATTTAATTTAATTTTAGTCTTAATTTTCTTCTAGAATAATGTATTTTCTGGTAGTGGAATGACAAGAAGGAACACTTATGTTTGTGAACGTTCTTCAGATCGCTATTCTGCAATACAGAATGGGAAGGACAACAGGTATGCTTCAACTTTTCTTGCTTATTAATTTGGGTACCAGAACTGAGGCACAGAAGTAGTAGGTTATGCAATTAATCAGTACCATCATGAAGCACGGTGTGAATACCTGAAGTCCGACAGCTTTTTTTCATCTTGTCTTCCACTGCAGTTTCTATGTTTGTGATGAAATTTATAACTAAATGTGTAGATACGCCTTTGCCTCTTTTTATGGAATCACATTTATTACCTAGGGAGATTTTTCTTTTTAGTTTAAAGCAATAGATCCTACTCTGATTTTTTTTTTAAAGTTATTTGAATAAAACAGTTAACGTAAAATGAACCAAAAAACCCTAGCATGAAATAACATAATGTAGTAATTATGCATTTAATTTTGGAAATAGGAAAAGTATAGGGCCGTTGATCTATATTAAAATGATGAGCTATGGAACATGTAAAGTACAGCTATTTAAATTGCTCTAAGGAGGTATATTAAAAAGCACACAACTAATTTTCAATATTAATTTCAAATTATTAGATGGGTGTTTTCAAAAGTGTCTTTCCAAATTTTTTCATACTGCTTAAAATATTTTGAACAACTTGTAACAATCCTTTTTTAAAAAGAAGATAACACACATTGCTTAGATTTAAAATATGTACGCAAACAGATTTTTCTGATCTCGCAAAGATTGATAAAGTTTTTCTTTCACTAGATTTAATACCAAACCACTATAATGAGAAGGGATTTTATTTTGAAGCTTTTCATTTTACAATTTATTTTTTATTTTTTCTGTAGTATTGAAAAGACAGACAACTCTTAATGCCTATTCCTTTCATCAGTGCAATGAATATGCTCAGTTCTTTGAGCATGTTCTGAAAAATGAAGGATGAGAATTTTCTTTTGAATTGTATTTTTGCCATACGTTGTGTTGCAGTTCAATTTGGATTTGGTCTAGCTGAACACCTTGTGTCATTGGATTATTCATCTGAAATCTTTACCTCTGCTACAGATATTATTTAGCTTTGGGACTGTTGTTGCTAATACATTATTAATGCAATTTTGTTTGTGCTTGTAGAGGCAAAGCTGGCGTTTGGCTTGAGTCATTTGACTTTTGTTTTAAAAATTAATAACACAGTAGTTTTGACACTACTTTCATCCCTTCCTTGCCACTTAGGCAAAGCAGAAATAAAAGTACCGGTGAAAGGAACTGTATCTTGAAAGGGTTGGCTCAGCCTAGCAGTGACTGGGATAGAGAACTGGTAGGGAAGGAGAATATTTTTGCTTAAAGCAGAGCGGACCATTTTGTTCCCCTTGGCAAGCAGCCGCAGGTGCTGCTCTGCAAGGCTGCTCTGCAAGGCTCAGGAAAGAGCCTTCCCTCACCTGGGGGGAGCACTGCCTTCTTCATGGGGTCATGGGCAGACTTTTACATCATGTCTCTTGTTGGAGAAGTAAGCTCCTGAGGGAGCTTCTACAGCTTTTCAAAATTTTATTTTACTTTCAGTGATTATTTGAAGGCAGGTTGAGGGGTTTTGGTTATCATGTGCCTATAGGGATTTTATCTTTTGGAAGACATCCAGTGTGGCAGCCTCAGGTACTGATAACCAGAGGATTTTTCAAATTGCAGTGCTGTCACTGTCAGAGGCATGTTACGGCATATTGGCATTCTCAAAGGTATTGAAGAAAGATTCTGAAGGGAATACAATTTTGTGTTGCTGAAGAAGTGTAGTAGCCATGTAATAAGGTGCAAGTAATTCCACATACATAACATTCCAAGGTGTTACCATGACAGAAAACAAAGTGATTAGAAATATAGACATGAGGCTACCTATGTTTTGTTTGTCTTTCATTGTTCCTTAGTGATACAACACCTCTAACTATTCAATGGCTGAAGACATTTGGAAGAACTTAATCAGAATGGAAGGGAATCTTTTCCCTCTCCTGAGAATATTTTGACCACTTACCAAAAGTTCAAAATTGGCAACTTTTTGGTAAATAAGGGGAGAAAATTATTGATAATTGCTTTGTGGCTGTTGAGTGTTTGCTGCCTGTTGGCCTTCTCTTCTATGGGTCAGGGCTTTCTGGTGGAGCTACCTTTCCCTTAAAACATTATGGAAAAGTCCAGAGGAGAAGTACACCTTGGTACTTTAAAAACACTGTCACTTCCAAGTGATAATGTGACAGCAGTTCCAAAGGTTTCAGGTCTTAGGTGTTTGAATTTTAACTGAAAATAAGGGTATTCACAAAAAGAGAGTCTGCTTAATCAACCTATTTAAGTCTTTTGCAAATTTCTTTTTCAGTATTTTTTACTATTTCCATGTACTCTTTGTAGTCTTTCTTCATTACTTTGAATAATGTGTGTGTAAGCTTTAATCTTGGGAGGAACAAAAAGGCCTAATTTAACATATATGGTGATTGGATTTATGGATGAACATCATTTTCTCAGAGTTCTGTATTCTTTACTTTAGCTGACAAAGACAGCCTGGTCACTCAGTCTTCTGGTTATTTAAACAGCACTTCCTACGTTATGAAAGAAAAAATTAGTTATTTTCCCTGTTTTCTATGGGATTTTACACTAACTTTTCTTTTCCCTTTTCATTTGTCTATCCCTCCTGCCTTGCTGCCGTGGTAAAAGCCTAACAGAAATGTCTGCAAGTAGCACATCTTCTGCAGGCTCTACAGTAGCTTCTGCTGTATCAACACGGCCTCGACATCAAAAGTCCATGTCTGCCTCTGGACATCCTATAAAAGTTACACTGCCAACCATCAAAGATGGCACTGAAGCTTACCGACCAAGGTAATAAATTGATTATTGTTTCTTTAATGTTGTGCACTTCAAAAAATGTTGTTCCATTCATTATATGCTTCAATATGTTTGTAATCTATTCAAAACTGTCACGTTGCATTCTGTTCTGAAACAATAGCTTACTCGAGTGGTGTGGGTATTACAGATGATTTAAGCCTGATTTTGTTCATCACACATGTTTGCATACAGTTAAAGAAGTTCCTTGACTGCCTCCCTCTGGAAGCTTCTGGAAAACTTAAGTAGTTAAAAATTTAACTAATTTAGACAGGACTGTACCGCACAGACCACCATAAATTCAAATGAAATACTGAAATGTTAACCTCTTGGTTTTGCAGATTGCTAGGCTCATTTCTGTCTAAAAGCATGATAGTATAATTGCTGTTACCATCAACTACCCAAATAGCTTTATACATTTATTATTTGTGTCAGATGATTACTACTTAAGAAATATCTGTTAAGTTTTTGGACTCTTTGTGTGTTAAAGGTTTTGATGAACGTATTTTGCCAGAAGAGGGCTGGGAACACTTTCAGATCTTACTACAGACATTTCTACTTTTTTCCTTTGTCCTATTATCTGTGTGTACTTTTTTTAACTGCTCTTAATACTTGAGATAATTTGATTTTACAATGAAAATATCTCTTTGATTATTTCTAAGTATGAATCATAAAAGCAAATCAGTAGCAGATTCAGGTTTTAAAAAAAAGAATCAGGAGCGGGGTTTTTTTCCTATCTTTGAGAAATGGTTGGCATGTAGGAGGGTTGCTAGCATAGTCTTTATTTATGCTTCTGTTTTCCCAGCAGTGCAACTCAAAGAGTGCCTGCTGCTTCCCCGTCTGCTCATAGTATTAGCACTACCACTCCAGACCGAACCCGCTTTCCTCGGGGGAGTTCAAGTCGAAGCACTTTCCATGGTGAGCAGCTAAGGGAGCGGCGTAATGCCACTTACAATGGACCGCCCGCCTCACCATCACATGAAACCGGTGCTTTTGCACATGCTAGAAGAGGGACATCAACTGGTATAATAAGCAAGATAACTTCCAAGTTTGTTCGCAGGTTAGTACCTCGATTTTTAAGAGAAAAAAAAAAAAATTAGCCCAGCCTATAACTAGGGCCATAATTGCAAAGTCATTGAGAATTTCCAGTTTAAGTCTGCAGTAAATGTAAATTTAGTTAGAATGCTGCTTGTTTTGTGTGTTCCTTCCAGAACCTGCCTTGTTTTACTTCTCTGTGTATATTGTAACCATTATGTTTGACCAGCTATTCTGCTCCTTTATCTTAAAGGAGCAAGAGAATGCTACTCAAATTTTTTTTTGCTCTTGCTTTACAGCTAAAATACAAAGATGCTACAATTAAGTTAAAATGAACTTGAATACTGAAAGCAGTGACTTAAAAACAAGTCATTATTTAATGTTAACAATATTTTACTTTTTTAACTGGGTGCAGTTTGTTGCAAAGGCTGTATTTACAACAGTTTTATTCCTGTGCTTAGAGGGAATAGGTATTAACAAATTATTTTAGGGAATTCTAAAATCTGTGAATAAATGAGAAGCTTAGAAGTGGGCAGAAGTCTGGATGTCTGGAAATACTAATATTTCAGTATCATGCAGCCTCTCATATCATGTTACCAGCTTCTTCAAATGTAAGTTCAGGATTCTGAAAGAAGACGACCCACACATCCTGGACCTGCGTTCATTCCTGTGATGATGCTAACAGTAATAATACTGTGAGGAGAGGTGCTGGGAAAGATTTTCAAATACACTGTTTAATATCAAGTGACCGTTGACTTAGTGGTCACAATAGCTTTCCCAAAAGGGGACTTAATTTTCAGTTTGCCTTTTTCTAAGTGATTTACCTATAATTCTTAAGCCTACTTATGGATGTGTCTGTACTGCATTATTGTCAGTTTTACAATAGAATTATATCTTGGAAACCTGTATTCTCTTTGCAGATTCATGCTGTTATGTACTGAATTCTGTCATTGGGGGAAGGGGAGGAGATAAATTCAAACCTAGGTTAAGCTAGTAGTTGGAAATTTGTAAGTGAAATACCATGAATTGCGTAAGGTGATGTTACAAGGGAAAAGAAGAGAGAAAGCTAGAAATGCAGTGATGTTCCTCCTAAAATTGATTTAACATGGTGAGCTGATAGTGTGTCAGTGTGTGTCTAAGTAATACCTCCTATGATGACCTAAAAAAAAAAAAAGTATGTGAATGATTTTCTTTTTTCAGAAACCTGAAGATGCAGGACTATGATCCTCCGTTATTGGTATCTCCAGCACTTATACAGTTGGGGGGAGAAAGTTTGTTCTCTGTTAAAAAGAAAAAAAAAAAAAAAATGACAGTTAGTCGAGTGTGGTGTCAGTGTAGATTTCCAAATGGGAAGAAAGGTATTTTCTGTTAACTAACCAACCAATTTCAAGAGCACAGGCTGGTTTTTTGCATTATAGCTCGTTGTTATTTGCAAGGAGTGGTATCTTGAATTTTTTTGAAGAGTCAGATCAAAGAATTAATATTTTCATTATGTTAAACTACAATATTAATATTGTAAACTATGTATTTAGAATTAACATATTGTAAATTTATGTCTTTTTAAATTATCTTTGCTATAGAACATTTTTATATAATTTCCTATTGTGTTTTATACTGCTAAAAATACATTTTCTTATAGTGAAGGCCTTGTGGGGGTTTTGTTTTGTTGCTGGTGGTGTTTTTTCTTGGTGTTTTGTTGGGTTTTTATTTTTTCAAACTTTGGGTTGTTGGAGACTTAGTGGCTGGGATTACATGGGTGGAGGTTCAGGGGGGTTATTTGTTGTTCTTTTAGTTGGATTGCATAACTGCATGCCTTTTAAATTCTGTACTGTTCAGAAAATAATGGTTTAAAGCATACGTTGATTAGAAGGTGTCATGAAAGACTTTTTTTACTATCTTTTGGCAAAGATGAATGCTTTTTCTGGTAAGTATATAAAATAAACGCATAATGAGAATTCCTAATGAGTAGGGTTTTGAAGTATTTTTTATCAATGGTTTATGTCAAATGATGCTTCTCTGATGTTAGTTACTAAAGTATTTGTGTTTTGAAGGTATTAAATTAGCTAATTGAAATTGGGTGCCAAAATGTTTGTATAGCAGCACTAGGAACGTACCTAGGTGGCTTATACAGTCTATGGATATTTTTCAAGTTGCTTTGGACTAAAAAGGCATAATACAAAACAGTTCCTTGGTAAAGTACAGCTCTAATTCAACAAGATAAAGATATGGTTAACCTCAAGCTCACCACTAATCTTACCGAAGTCAGTGTAACAGCTGATTTGCTTAAAGTTAAGCAGATGCTGAAGTAACCTTTCTGAACTGGGCTCCAAACATTTGGTCCCACAAACTCTTAGGCACGTCTTATCTTTAATTACTTGAGTGTGCTTAAGCATGGGCATGTACCTAAGTGCTTTCAGGACTGAGGTCTGAAGGCCTGGCCCGGAAGGGTGCAGAGTGGAGCCCCCCTGGACCACCCTGATCAACTACTCCTCTGCTTGCTGGAATTACATGTGGCCATTGCTCTGTCTGCAGTAGGTTGAGAACCACATGTTAATTTTACCATCAGTTTAAAAAAAACATTAAACAATTACATGTCAGAGCTGAAAGAAGTTAAGGTATCAATAAAGGGAAATTAAAACTACAGCTGTGAAAAAAAATACTATTAAACAGTATTAGGCTTGACATTACTATACTGATTTATTTTTATTTTTTTTTGTTCAGTAGCTATTTAACATTGTTCTAGATGTAGGTTTTCTTAACTTTTTATTTTTCACCTTTATCATTGAATCTCAACCTTAACTTTGTTTTGAGGGATCCAAGTGAAGGTGAAGCCAGTGGCAGAACTGACACCTCAAGGTGAGGAGCCACTATTAATACTTTGCTCCTAGGTCTTTTGCATCAAGGTTTAAGTGATTTCTTAAAGATTTTTAATCAGGATGTAAAATAGAATAGTGCTTAAGTAATCTGCATTTCAAAAATGTTTTTTATTGGGGGGGGAGGGGGTTTTGGTGAGGTCCTTTATCCCTTATTTTTGCTTTCTTGCAAAGTATTTAATATAAAACTTTATTTAAGCATATTCCTTTGAATAATAAAGCCCCCTGTAGGAGTTAACCAGTCATTTAGGCACTTAAAATCATGTTTTGGCTTATAAATATTTAATGGTGTTTACTTTAGGTTTCAGTGGAAAATGTAGTATACTTTGTGTGTGTCTGTGTGTATATAGGTATATATTAAATTTTTACTATAGTTACATACTGAGTTCATTACTAATTCTGCTGTTTGCCAGAAGTAAACACCTTATAGTCCCTGTGAAATGAATGTCACTTTGCATTGAGAAATAAAATAAGTGACATTCAGACAAAAGGGTTGTGACTGCTAAATATCGAATTTGTATGGCAACCACAGTACACAAATCTGTAGATGCTTCGTTAGTAATAAAGCATTCCTTCATACGCTCATTTTCCAGTATATCTGCTCTTTTGCCATGTTTCAGCATTTGGTTCTGCATTTTTGGTGTGCTTAGCACAGTGCATAACTTTTTATTTTTATGCTCTCTAATGAACAGGCATTGTAGTTTGCATTTTAAATTGGTCGCGTACAGAAAGTATCGACTTAGTTTTCAAAACAGAAAGCCTTTATTTAAAAAAAAAAAAAGCAGCACATTCTTAACAGGATACGTTGTTTAATACACAATGCATTTTATTTAAATTAGCCCTTTTCAATTCAAAGTCCATTAGCTGTCGAATTCTTGACATGGAAAGGGAAAAGACATTAAACAAATGTTCAAATGAAATGAAGTGTGAAGTTGCTTTCAGCTCTTGCTTTCATTCCCTAGCTTCCTCTACTTTTTGTCATCCTACAGTGTCTGTTTTGGCCTAAAAGTCATTTGAGATCTTATCCCTGCCATGCTCTATCCCTTAATACCGATGTGGTTCTCTGGGGATCGCACTGAAAGTTAAATTAAAAATGCTTGTTTTGACTCCTCTCTGAATAGTGACAGTTTATAGACTATCAAAATGAGAACAGCACCTTTCCCCAGTGATGGATGGGGAGGCATCAGGCATCTTAAGTACCTGGGACAAGAACAGAAATAGTTGGCTGTGGAATTACTTTTAAAATAATTAGTGTTGTTTCTCAAAATGCTTTCTACAATGGAACAAGTAATCTATTCAGTAAGGAAGCATCAGAGGAAGAACATTCATTGGAAACTACTCCCTTGAAATTTTGTCCAAGTCATTTTATCAACTAAAATGTTTTGTATCTACATGTCACTGTTTCTTCTGTGAAAAAGGTGCTGGCTGTGTACTCAGCTGTTTGACAAACAAGCTGTTTACAACCGAATTCCAGCACAAAATTCTGCTTCATCGGTTAAAATAAAGTACGTTACTATAAGGTCCTTTTTACACAGAGAGAGGTCAAAAAAATACATAGTAAGTGCAAA